TCAACAACACAGACACACTAACTAGCCAAATATTTCCAATTCTCATTATGAAAATATGAAATAACGATCAACACCAGCATTTCAACAAATTTCATGTGCCTTCAAACAAGAGAAACGTGAGACACAAAGGTTAGGTTTTGTTTGACTGAAATTCGAGTTAACTATTCTCTTTTAATCAAATATAAATGGATGTCTAGAGAAACCGCCTTTCATTGTGAATCAAAAGTATAAAAGGGCACAGGGAGAAGCAATCTAAGGTTATTCTGTAAATAATGTCATCCCACATTACATTTACCAGCAGATATGTATATTTTATCTTGGCTGTATTTCAAACTTGCAATCCGAGACGTAAAAAGAGTCAAGCTCAATTTCCCTTCCTGGTATATATTTAAGACATCATCTCACTGAAACTGAATATTTAAAATTAGGGGTTAAAAGTTAAGGACAAAATTGTTTCAAAGATGCATTTTTCCTGAAAGAGAAATAGAACATTTACATTTTTGCTTAAAAACTAAAGTCTCTTGACAGTATAGACAGTGAAGAGGCAAAATTGGGAGTAAAGTCCAATTTCCCTTGGCAACCCCTAATACTTTCATTCAGTCCTCCCCTCACAACACTATGCAGTGATTAAGTAAAAGCAATCAGATCCTCCTCAGTGCTGAGACATCTCAGCCAGATCAATAAAAATGATAAACTCTTAATGAACGCCACTCTTCATCCGCTCTAATTCCGCCACTGCTGCCAGTGTAAAAGCCTCTGTGCACAATAACAGCATTTAATATTTATTTACACCATGTGAAAATCAATAAATAGATTTTAAATTGAGCTGGAAGAAACCAGTTTGCCCTTTATCGCTCCTTTTAATGAAGGCTTTAGTCCCTTTGGAGATTGGAGGGGATTTTTTTAAATGAAATTAAATGCAGTTCAAGCATTTTGGGGTGGAAAGAGTGGACTGAAGTAGTAAGTGTGTGTGTGTGTGTGTGTGTGTGTGTGTGTGTGTGTGTGTGTGTGTGCGCTAGTGAACACATGTATGCTGCTTTAGCTGCTACACAGAGTCAGAGAAAAAGTCTGAATCAGGGCTTTCAGTAATCAGTGTCACATTGTCAGGGAGGCTGCCTTTGACTAATGAGAGGTGCTGACAGCCTGGCTGCATACTCCCTTGGCTCTGCTGAGTGGGACGGATCTGTTTCAGGGCCTTTGTCAGGTTCATTCTCCCTCTGCTCCTCTCTCTCTCCCCCTCCCTCCGACTTCCTTTCTTTTTCTCTCTCTGAGTGTCAGGCAGAGCAATGACTAGTGGTCAGCCCCAAGGACACCTCCTGGCATTCCACATGGTGACAAATTGACCATGGGGGACAAGGTGCCTCAAAATTGCCTCAGAGATGAAGAGGTTTTGAATGTTCGATTCTCCCCCAAGACAGGAAACTGCGGATCTTGTCAGAATGGCAGAGACAGGAAAAAGAGGAGGGTGTCACAGTATCAGATAATAAGCCAAATAGGAAGGGAGAGGGATGCAGGGCCAATATCATAGCTGAGTGGGTCAGGGATTGATAGAAAAGTAAAAGCTTGTATTGAACAGCTGAGGGGGCATAGTCACCCATTCAGCATCTTGTGTATCAAGGCCAATGGAGGAATCCTTTCATGACATTGTGTGTAGCTCAGCTAAAATACAGATGACCTCTGTGGGGTGTGGGCTCGGTTTATAAATCACAGCGTCTACCCACTGTTGGTAATTTAACCATTTCCTCAACACAAATATTTTCTCAAATTTCTTAGATTATTTATGGAAAATGTGCAGATCGAATCTGACCGTGGCAGTAAAATATATTTGAAGACAAATAAATATCACCCCTGCTGTTTTCTGTGCCTCGGTCATGGAGACCTCATGAGTTTCAAATCTGCGAGTGTATGATAACAGAAAGATTGAACAGTGTCTACGAAGAGATTCAATTTTAGAGGGTCAAGTCAGATCAATACTGCAGGTATTAACTGATCATTCTTGTTTACAGTCAAGTGGAACCCATCTAGGTGTTCTTGAAGCACATGGGATCGATGGAAATAAAGTTAGACTGGCTTAAACATTTCTGGACTCTGCACCTGGAGATGTCACTCATGGAGGTAATTTGTTCAGGTATCATGTAGCCCGCTTTTGAGGGTAGGAAGGCTGGGCTCTGTTGCAAAATGCAGCACATCCTTCAAGTATGCCCCCACTGCTAATCTGCCACAAACACATTTGTTGTGTGTCCTATACAAACTCTAACTTTAAAACAGCCTTGACACCAATCAACACCAATCAAATTGCCAAAGGCAAAGAAGACAATACACACAGGTGGACTGTCAAGTGGTGTGTCTTCGCATTATGGGAGCTTTTCTCACCTCAGTCTTCTTTGCTGGCTGTCTTCAGTCAGGCCTACCTTTCAGCTAATCAGGCCGTCTCAGTTCCTTAGACGCCCCCCCTGGGACAGCACAGCCACAAGCACACTTAATTGGTTCATTTGTTCCGTCATGTTTTGCTGAGCAGAGACAGAACAAAAGGAAATGCTGCGGTGGAACCATTGTCTCCACGCTTGTCTCCAAGGATAGAGAAAGTGACACATGAATGCTCTCCTAAATAGATAAATAGAAGAATGGAAGTTAGATAAAGTGTCTAATGAAAGGATGAATGCAACTTGTTTGCCAGCTGTGGAAGGAAGGTCCTGTTTGATTCAATGTATGTCCATCATCTGAGATAAGTTTAACATGGAGCATTAAACAGTAGATTGTATAGTGAGGTTTGTTAGCTTTGTCTGTCATTGTCTCTTTTAACCACAACTGAAAATACAGATACACAAACAGAAACCTATGCTGCAACATTGATTCCCAACCAGGGAAACTTCCATAGTTGCAATGGGCCACAGAATAAAAAAATATTTGTATCAACATATTGAATCAGCATTTTTGAGTCAGCTATAGCAACTTTTTTAAGAGTAGGTAAAACCCATAAGCAGTACAGTCCTGTATTTAAATACAGAACATAGATAAGAGTTAGCGAGAACAAATTGATAAACGTTTACACTAAGAGTTCAAAACACTAAGAGTTCAGATGAAAATATAATAGATATTTAAGTCAATAGAGCTAAAAAAAAATCAGTTTAAATTAAGTCATTGGAAACATGATGGATTTAAAGGACAAAAAAAAATTTTGATTCCAAAGTTGAAAAAAAAGTCTTGATGGCCCCCTGGTGGCTGACTGCAGTATAGATTAAACACTGCTTCCTTTATACCAGCAAATGGGACCTGGAAATAAAGCCCACATCAAATATTTGTTTTCTAAAGATGGTTTCTATCATTTTTGGTAGTTTTTATCACACTGACACTATAGTGACTATAGTCAAGTTATATTTTTTCTGTAAGCTTGTTTTTTGATTGGGTGAAACTAAATGATTGAGACTTATTAACGATTGGTTGAGCAATTGGACACTGGCTTCAAATTACATCACCAGCGCAAAACGCCCATATCAAAAATATTTTGGCTGAATTTTTGTACGGTGGAATAAAGTGGAGACACATTGTCCATCTTTATGTACAGTCTATTGTTGGGATCCACATGTTGTCCATTTTCTTGTCCATTATAGAGACCTCTGTTTTGTCCTGTGTTGACCTCTAGCATTATTTATCACACACTTGCACACACAAGCATTAAATGCTGATTTATATTTATTTTCTTAACCAAGGTGGTGACATATATGAGCCAGTTACTGCAACATAACGCAGTCACACCGAGAGCTTAGCTGACACAGTGCCTCTGCATGTGCTCCCCGAGCTTATCGCCTCCATCTGATGAATGGGGTAGATTGGATTGGGAGGCAGGCATGGGGAGAGAAAGGGCCAGCCGAGGCACCACGCAGCTTAATTCTCCCATGCCTGCTCCTGAGATTATCTGCCATGATTTTCCAGCATAAAATAAAGATAGATAAATAAAACCCAGTACCATGCCGATTGAATAGCAATGAAGAACCATAAAGGTTTCTGGGTGTCTCCAAGTAATTTATTCACCATTTACGGGAATACCTGGAGCGAGAACAATTTGGTGGAATTGAAGGATGAAAAAGAAATAGCACATTATGTTGTAGTTGAAGGGTATAAAATTACATCTGCCATTAACTCTAAGGATAATACCACCATAGTAATCAAATGATGCCTCATCAATATTGAATATGATTATGTGGTAGAGGGAAAAACAATGGCACCTGATTAATGCTAGCGTGGGGCATGATATTGTGGAGCATATTTTATTTACTAACACAAACTGGGAGTTTTTCTTAAAGTGACACCAGACCTCTTGGGATGTGCGTTTCCCAAACTGAACGCTCCTGGCTGCCATCTGCATATAAATCTGCTGAGCACTTGAAGCCAGGCACGTGTAATGATGGTAAATGTGTGGCCACGTACTTGTGACTATGATGAGTCTACCCTGTAAAATGAGTGCTATTAAAAGGTTGATCCACAGCAATCTGCAGGCCTTTCATATAACACATTTTAAATTTGCTTCACATTCAGTCCACAGCAATCAGACAGCAGGGTCTTAACCCAGATTACCACCGGATCAACCTGTCACCCGCACTACTCTGCTTCTTTTTCTTGATCTCTGATACTAATCAGGTTCATTTGAGGACAACTCCAGCCTCAAACTGAGAATGAGACAAAAAGGTTAGAACATGAGTCGAGAAGCCACTTCACCTCCTTTATCTTCTCATGTCTCTCTTCTTGTCCTATTTGTCCAAAACTGAATCCAAGCCTGAATATTAGTACTGTCAGTGAGATGACGCAGTGCACAGCACAGGGCTGCAGAGCATGATTAAAGCCAACACACTCACGGTGACAGATGGATCAGCACTAACCAGCAGACACCATGAAACTGAACCGTGTGGTGCCGAGTGGAGTAGCTAGTGCAGTGAACAGGACACCTCCAGCACTACTCTTAGAGAAAGGCGCTGTCAGCCAGCTCTTTAATGACCACTTACAGCAGAGGGATGGGCAGAGTCCAGCTCGCACTCTCCCACCTCCAGCGGGAGTTATATGAAGATGGAGCCGGTCTTGGCTTGTTGCCCTGCCGTCACAGTCTCTGAATCCGCTTTGCAAGTCCCACGTCTGGACAGAAGGATGGCAAGGGCTGGGCCTGATGTCTGGAAGCTGGGCAGGGTCTGGAGCAGCACTGAGTTATACTCCAGAGGAGCTCTGCTTAATGGAGGCAGGTCGTTTGGACATCTGTTTTTGTGAGTGGGAGACACAGGGAAAGAGAGAGAGAGAGAGGGATTAGTAAGAAGCATTGGAGAAGTTCACATGCTTTCTTGGATGTAAGAAAGTAAATGTTGAGTATAAGGTAGGTTGCACACACACGCACATGCACACGCACACGCACACACACACACACACACACACACACACACACACTCACAAACAAACACACAGATAACTCTTGCCTGCACATCTTTTTTATAAACCACTTTGGAATACGAAATCCTTCATGCAGATTAGGGGCACTGAGTGCAGAGCCACTCATTCTACAACGTCCCACCTTTGGCATCTTGCAACCAATCTGCGTCATGCTGACAGACCATATCTTTCTCTGTGCCCTCACCAAAACTAGGAGAATGTCACAGCGCTCACATTACTCTCAGAAAGATGAATGCTGCTGCAGCAGCAACATCACACGAGCTGCAGCTCAATGACTTTGCTAACCTTTTACACCAAACCAGGCCTGCAGCTAGTTGACATACTGCTTATCTTAGCAAATATTGTAGAGCAGATAACCAGGCCCCACATAACCTGTTTGTACAAATACCCCAAGGTCTGTTCACTCTGTCAGAAACACTGCACATTTATAGATTGCAGCCACGGCACAAAGTTTTTCTTTTGTTTCCATGATGTGGCAAAAGTAGAAGTCCGACTGCAGTTATCTTAATACCTCAGCCAGAACCCTGTCTGTTTGTTTGCTTGCTTGTTTGTCAGTCAGCAGGTTTACGCAAATCCAGGAATTTTGTTCATCCCTTTCTGTATCATGACAAGATATTTTTTATATTGTGAATAAATACCTGTTCTCTTTAGTGTATGTGGGTTTGTCTTTTTATCAGCATTCTTCCGCAATGTTAATTATGATTTCATGAACTGCATTGTTGTGATGGCTTCGCTGTAAGCCTTGACTGAATTTAATGCAGAGGTGGCAAAAGTACTCAACTCCTTTACTTAAGTAAAAGTAAGAAAGTACAGGCTCTGAAATGCTCTCTGAAAGTACAAAAGTAAAAATAAATTTTTTTAACTTCAATGATACAAGATAGTTTTCCTCTTGTTAACAACCTGCACAGAGCTGGTACAGAGAGATAAAAATCACTGGACACAGTCTAGTTTTGCTGCCAAATTCCAGAATAATAAAGACTGAACTGAACCAAGGTCCTGCATGAGCACCTGGATCATTTTTTACAGAGAATAAATGGATGGGCAATGTCCTGGCCTTGATTAAGTCCCTGCCCTTTGTTCACACCGCCGGGTGCTACTACTGTTTGGATGGTTTAGTGAGGTCCTCGGATCGGCCCCGTCAGAGTTGGTCATGGCCCTGGCGGAGCACCGAGAACACGATCAAACTTGACTATCAAGAGGATGTACAAGTCATTACAAGGTTTCCGTAGGTGAACCTGAGGAAGGATTATTTATATTATTTATATATATATATATATATATATATATATATATTATAAATTTTATTTTTTATTATTTGTTCTTCGTTACTGTACACCTCTGATTCAAGGGGACTGTTGAGCTTGGCAGAGGATTGAGCTGAGTGCAATTCTCGTTACCTGTGTCAACAATGTTGTGTTTTTGTCTGCAATTGTTTGTCTGTTAGTTAGTAGGATTACATCAAATCTTGGTGGAAAGATGTAGAATGGGTTGAGAGAGAACCCATGAAATTTTGCTGTGGACCTGGGTCAGGGGGCAGAGACAGGAACTACTGTTTATGTAGTTCCTGTTTATGTTTATGTTTTTAAGGCTTAATTTGAGCTGGATCGTGCATCCAGCAGCAAACTTTGTGAGATTGTTTGAACAGTAGTTTTTTTCATTAAGAATTGACCCACGCCAAGAACTGTTGCTCACACACAAAAACTAAAAACAGAGAGACGTCTTTTCAGTGCAACTCTTAATGACCCAGTTGTCTGCTACCCGGCTGCTCAGCCAATTCATGAAGTTCTACATTCCACGCAGGGTGGGACCATGCAAACACAAAGAAATGAAAATGTATTCATATTTTGTCATATATTATCAAAACCTTTCTCTAAAGTATTTTAAAAAATACAGCACAATTCCTTCGGCCATAAAAATGAAAATCGATGTCTGCAGCCTCTGATTAGCGTCTGCTCAGTAATTTGTCCAAGCTTGTTGAGAACATTGAGGTTCAGAAAATAACTATTGAACGTTAGCAGCCCTTACAGTTACTTTTAGCTTGCCAGCCTGTTAAGTTTTCATTAGTCAGTGAACTGCTGAAGGTATCAATCATATATATACAGTATATGTATATAAATTCCAAACATGAAAAAGAAACTGTGGTAGCCTTCATTTGTCATAAAAACTCAAAAGGTGTTTAGTTTGTCCAGTCTGGACTAATGTAAAAAACATGGCAGCCTCTGTAGAGGGGGTCCCCTCGATGTAAATATTAAATATTAAAATATAAAGGGCTTTTTCAAGGGTAAAGCAAAATACAATTCATACAATTTAGATGAAAAGAACTAGTGACAACATCATGACGATTATTCTACATTACATTTCTGCCAATAGTTCCCTTTCACCTAAATCTTACAATCTGGACCTTTAAAAGACTTAAAATTAGGGTAATAGGTATTTTATTTTAAAATACATTTGGATGTATCTTTGCCCATCCCTGCATATGAGCAATAATTGTCATAACATTTCTCATAACAATTATTTGAAATAGAGGTTTGTAAGCGCCACAGTTTAATAAGTGGGCACATGTGTGCAAAGCATGTTGTTTTCGGCAGCGTGTTCTGTACACGTCCGGCAACTGTGCATCACCCCTCTGCTCTCATATGCACTTAGCATTCCAGCAGCTTCTTATTGACAAATCAAGCACTGGTGCAGATCCAAAGAAAAATCCAGATCTAGTGAATTTAAATGTGCTCTCATAAGGTGACTCGCAGGCCTCAGTGGCGATATGAAGTCTCTGAGTTATGAAATATAAACGACTGGTGTAATTGGGGCCATATGTAAGGACACACATGCAGAGTGTGGATAGCATAGTCAAAAAAGAAAAATCTAAGATGATTTCCAGTCAGATAGAGTAGGTGTCTCGATCCAAAGCAACCATTGATTCCATGATGGAGGATTATTGTCGTGACACTGACGCTGCATTCACACACATCCATATATATATATATACTGTATATAAAACATGCTGTTTGACAGACAGTCAGAGACCCTGCAGTCTGGGAAAGCAGACAACAGGGAGATAAAACTGCAAAATCAAATCAAAACAGAAGTAAATATATATATTTATGTCTATAGTGACAACTGACATTCACATTGGATGTATGGGCAGCACATGTAAGTCTTTATACTAGGTAAATGGAAACAGCATTATATATATATAAAATCTAATTCGTAATTATGTAGTGCTGCCAAACATGACAGACTGACTGAAAGGAGTTATATATTTGCAACTGTCCTTCAACTCTCAGCTCTGAGTTTACAGTGAAAATAAGTAGCCATGGAATTATATCACATTAAGGGCTTTAAGCCCTCTCTGCTCCTTTTGTTCCACCTACTGTGACAAAGAGAGACGAGGGGAAAAATACCCCCATTTCTGTATGATAAAGAAGCTGAATGCAAAGACAAGCTGTTAAATTTAACTTATGTTCCACTGTGCAGAGCAGCTATCCTGTCTAGGTCTTTAAGGACACACACCAGGTGTTATCACCGGTTTGCCAGCACAGCAAGGACGAGGGATGGAGCTCATCCATCCCCTGCCTTGAGACCCAATCTCTGGACAAAGCCATACAGATTTGGCCTTTGACTGGAGGCCACAGGGTGCAGAGCCTGCAGCGCCAGATCCATTTCAAAAGCTAAAGCTATCTTCTGAAGGCAAATTCCTTCACAAGGACATGTTCCCCTGAGAAAAGATTATGCTTTGCAGCTCTTCACCCATGGTGTCACTGGCCAAATCTCACATCTAATGACAAACAACAGGGGATGAGCATGAGTTGGAGGCGGTGAAAAACTGTCTTGAAATGGAACAGCTGAGGAAGCTCAGGTCATGATGGTTTCTGAAACCGCAGATCTGAGGTCATTAACAAGCCAGAGCATTTTGGCATAAATGACACCCGTCGTTCTTCTGTAGAGCTGTGACAAACTCTAGGGTACCTGGCATCTCACTTTCTGTAGACTGGTAAAAAAGAAAACATCCAACACTAAATTGAACATGTCCTTGGAGTGCGAATTTCACTACACAACCATATACAGTTCACTCAGGTTCTACACAAATGAGACTGTCCCCGGCGAAGGTGATTGGCTAGAGATTGCTGTGGCAAGGTTTCCCACTGAGGGACGAATGTACAATGGGACCCTGAGGGGCCTATTGGAGAAGGGCGTTTAGCCTCCAAGTGGCCCCCTGTTGTAATTCTATCTCAGGGGTGGCAGGGGGCCCTCAGCTGGGGCTAAGTGGAGGTGTGTAAGTCAGTGTTCCTCCCCTCCGGCTGTACCACCTCCCTGAGCTGGGAAATAGAATTGGTGACTGATGCTCTTGGTTTCCCTGCTTCCTCTCGTCGCTGGGTGGGAGCAGTTTGTGTCAAATGTTTGAGATAATTTTAAAACAGCAATGCAATGGATAAAAGCGGCACCTTGGTGGGTGATTTACCAATCAGTGGGGAGGCCTTTTTGACTGTATTGCCAGGCTAACATGTACAGTGCAAGCCTTTCAACGAAAAATGAGATCTCAATTTCCAAAGCACTTTAACTATTCTTGTCATTTTATTTAAAAGGAACTGTGTGGAATAACATACATTTTCAAGGAAGTGTTATGCACTGTAAAGAGACACAGTGAGACAGCTCATTTTTAATCACTTGTCTTCAGCTTTTGTTGGTTTCCCAATCAGATCCTGAAGCAATCACCAACCACATGATTCCCGGATGTTTTATTCTTCTGAGTGAATATTCAATTATGAGGCTGGGGACTGCATGCAGTTCATGCCTAACCTCTTC